AGCACAGCAGCAGCACTAGCAGCAGGAGCAGCAGCAGGAGCAGGATTGTGTATCTGTATTCGTGTGTTGCTGCTGCAGCTACCTGCATGCCGTTATGCATTAGGGTTAGAGTCCTTATCCCGATTAGGTGTATACAGGGGGGGTCTAGCAGCAGCAGCAGCATTAACAGATAAGGTGCTGCTGCCGCTGCTGCTGCTGCAGCGGCGGCTGCGGCAGCAGCTGCTGTTTGGTGCTTCCTTAACAGAGAGTTTATCCTTTAGTTGCCACCCTAGATTTAGGAAGTTTTTTCTTCCTTTTTTCTCTGGTGCTGCTGCTCCTTTGCTGCAGCAGCAGCAGCAAACTGCAGCAGCAGCTGCTGCTGCTGCTGCAGCGGCGGCTGCTGTTGGTAGAAAAGGAGGAGTTGGCAGCGCTGCAGCAGCAAGAGCTTCCCTCGTTAACTCCATGCAACAGCAGCAACAGCAGCAGCAAAATGCTGCTGTTGCTGCTGCTGCGCATGCAGCACAGGGATTCAGCTTATGGAAAGGCTGCTGCACAGTTGCTGCCGCAGCACAGCTGCTGCTGCTGCTTCTGCTGCTGCTGCTGCAGTCCGATATTATATGCCGTGCTGCAGTGCCTGGTGCTTGGAGTATACTGACACCGCAAACTGCTGCTAAGACAAAACAGACAGCAGCAGCAGCAGCAGCTGCTGCTGCTGCTGCTGCTAATGCAGGAGCTGCTGCTGCAGACAGTCCTTGGGGTTTAGGGGGTTTAGCAGTAAAACGGTTGCAGCAGTGCAGGAGCGCAGGGGAGTTGCTGCTGCTTTCGTTGCTGCTGCTGCTGCCGCTGCTGCTGCGCCTAGCAGCAAAACCCTTGGGGGTTTGGGGGGCACTAAGGGCTGTTGCTGTTAATATAACAGACGCAGCAGCAACAATAAAAGAAACAGATCTTGTCTCTGCTTCTGCAGATACACCTACAGGTAGGGTTTAGGGTTTATTAGGGTTTAGGGTTTAGGGTTTACGGGGTGGGTTGCAAGCTCCCGGTCGCTATGGGGAGGAGCACCGCATTTAAGGTTTTAGGGTTTATTAGGGTTTAGGGTTTAGGATTTATTAGGGTTTAGGGTTTAGGATTTATTAGGGTTTAGGGTTTAGGGTTTGTGGTGTTTGTTGTGTATTCAGCGGGGGCTTACTTCTCTTCTGCGCAGCAACTGTTTTTGCTGCTGTGTACCCTTGCGGGTACTGCTGCTGTTGCTGCTCCTGCTGCTGCTGCTGCAGCAGCAGCAGCAGCATTTGGAAGGTCCTGCCCCTTCTCTGCCTTCTTCGCGCTGCAGCTGCTGGTCATGTTTGCTGCTGAGCTGCTGCGGCTGCTTGTTGCTTCCCGCGCCCCTCGCGATGCAGCAGCAACAGCAGCAGCAGCAGCAAAAGGCAGCAAAGTAGGAGGCAGCAGCAACAGCAGCGGCTCCAGCAGCAGCAGCAACAACAACAACACTGAAGACAGCGACGATGCAGCAGCGAAACAAGCAGCAGAAGAAGCAGCAGAAGCAGCAGCAGCAGCAGAAGCAGCAGCAGCAGAATCTTTGCTTCCTCCTCTACGATTAGAGTATTTTTTTGCTGCTGTTTGTCTTGAGTTATGTTTGCTGCCTGCTGCAGCAGCACATCGGGTACTGCTTCCTTGTTTGCTGCTGCTGCTGCTGTCTTTGCCACTGCGGCTAAGGGAAGCCTGTCAGCTGCTGCTGCAGTGCCGCCGCAGCAGCAGCTGCTGCTGCGGCGAGCTGCCGCAAAGCTTAGAGAGCTGGCTGCCCCATCTAGGGCTTGTAGGGGTTTGCTGCAGCATGGGGGTAGTGTTAGGGTTTGGCCGATCTTTGCTGCTGCTGCAGCAGCTGCAGCAGCAGATGCGCCCTGAGCAACTGCAGCAGCTGCTGATTAAGGAACCAATCCTGCAAGTACTATCTCCTGCTGCAGTATTAACTGTCTTTGCTGCTGCTGCATGCATGCTGCTGATGGTGCTGCAGTCTTTTGGAGATAAAAGCCAAGACGATTGCGTAAGCAGCAGCAGCAGCAACAGCAGCAGCAGCAACAGCAGCAACAGCAACAGCAGCAGCAGTCGCAGCACAGGCAATTGAGAGTTCATGGCAGTAAGTGCTGCAGCAGAACCTGGTGCAGCAGCAAGGTCTCATCCCGGTTTGCTTGTGCTGCTGCTGTTGCTGCTGCTGCTGCTGCTGTTGCTGCTGTTGCTGCTGCTGCTGCTGCTGCTGCTGCTGCTGCTGTATTTGCAGCTCCAAGCTGTGCATGAGATTGCGGAGAGAGAAGTTAGCGCCTTCGAATTCAACTTCGATATACTACAGGTTAGTTGCTGCTGCTGCTGCTGCTGTTGCTGCTGTTGCTGCTGCTGCTGCTGCTGCTACTGCTGCTACTGTTGCTGCTGCTGTTGCTGCTGCTGCTGCTGCTGTTGCTGCTGCTGCTGTTGCTGCTGCTGCTGCTGCTGTTGCTGCTGCTGCTGCTGCTGCTGTTACTGATTTTGCTGATGCAGTAGCTATCCCCTGCCTTAGCAGATTCTAGGTTCTGTGTGTTTAGGGTTTAGGGTTTAGGGTTTATTGTTTGTGTGTATTCAGCCGAAGACTCCTGCTGCTGCGCGTATAATTGCTGCTCCTGCTGCAGCAGCAGCAACTCCTTGGTTGCTGCAGTTGTTATCTTCTCTCTTTTCTCCTGTGCTGCAGCTGCAGCAGCAATGGCAATTGCTGCAGCAGTTACCTCGTCATCAGCAACAGCAGCAACGTTGCTGCTGCTGGGGTATATTCTTACGCCAGCTGCTGCTGCCCCCCCTGCTGCCTATAGAGGGGGCCTCCTCTGATCTCCCGCTGCTGCAGGGGGGAGTGCTGCGCTTAGATGCATCAATACTTAAGCTGCAGCAGAGGTGTACAGACACCGCAGATGAGGCAGCTGAATCTCTTAGTCCTAGAAGACTTGTAAGTAACCAATTAGGGTTTAGGGTTTAGGGTTTGCAAGGGATGATGATGATACCGTTGGCTGTTGGGTGGTGGGTTGTTGTGATTGTGCGCAAAAGTATCTGCAGCTATTTTTAGGGTTTAGGGTTTAGGGTTTAGGGTTTAGGGTTTAGGGTTTAGAGTTTAGGGTTTATGCGTGTGTATATAGGATGTAGCCCTTGAACAATATATAGATGATGTTCTTAACAAAGAAGGACCAAGAGGGTTAATGCTAACAGGAGCTATTTCTCCTCCTCCTGATCAATTACCTAAACCTCTTGATAGAAAAGTAAGTATTAGGGTTTAGGGTTTAGGGTTTATAGGGTTTATAGGGTTTATAGGGTTTAGGGTTTGTTGTGTGTATATATATATAGAGCTATAACTAACCACATATTCCCGATTCTTCCCACCACCACCACCGCCAGCACTCTCAGGGTTTACTAGGGTTTAGGGTTTAGGGTTTAGGGTTTATATATATATTTTTTTTTCTTTTTTTTTTTTTATTTATTTATTTATGTATAGGTAATAAATCGTTTCTTAGGTGAATGGGACTTTGATCGTAGTAGGAGTACATCTATGTCCTTAATAGCAGAGGAGTTAGGTGTTCCTTGGTTAATAAGGAACGCTATAGAGAAAATAAACCCTCGTATACAATATAAATTAGAACAACAAGATGGACAATTTATATTCGCTATTACTACAAAACTTACTGCAGGAATATCCAAGGTATGCTAGCTTTTTTTAGGGTTTAGGGTTTAGGGTTTAGGGTTTAGGGTTTAGGGTTTAGGGTTTAGATATAAATATGTTATTGAATATATATATATATATATATA